CTCTTTCCCAGTAGAAACTTAGCCATGTCTCTCGCAGCCAAATGGAAGTCAAAACAGAAACCTAAATCTGATGGGCTAGATGCATCTCTGTTTTCTACTCTGTCAACTGTTTGTTATCTTTTGCAACTCACTTCTTTATTTGCAAATAGCCGGAAATGAGAGCAACGGCATTAGAGGTTTGATGTGTTTCTTCAGTGTCTGAATTTGATTGTTAAATACTTTCACAGAGCCTTGGGCCATGGAAGCCAAACTCCTTTTTAACTGTAATTAGAGCTTGTCTGGAAGCGGCAGCGTGGATTTCATTTGAAGGCTTCTGTTTAGCTTTATTTACCTTGTGCATGCCCCAGTTAAGCGCTATGAGCCTGAGCTGCATTTTGTGCCAAGCCCACTTCCTTGCACTCTGGTTGTGCAAAGCACGTTGGTACCTCCATTTCTGCTGGGGTCTTAGCTGTGCCAGAGTAAGGGAAAGCGGCCCTTGTGTAAATAAAAAGTGGGCCCCAGATTTTCATTGCTGCAAATGACACATACTGTAACAAAAATAGAACCTGACTTGTGAGATTAGATAACAGGCAGTGACGTGCTTTGTGTATGTATTTTAAAAGGCAAGCTGCAAAGGAGCTCTCCCAAGTCCATCTGCTACAATGATTGATGTTGATTTCCAGTACGTGATTCTGGCGCAGTTTGTTTTTATGATACCCTGTGCCAGGGGGTCATTTGTAAATTAACACTGCTGTAGTAATGAAAGAGATGTTGTGCTGGGCTGATGAAGTGGTAAGTCATGAAACTTGGAATAATCCCAATGTGCAACTCTGCTGATGAGTATATTTCTATATTGCTTAAGAGCTGGCTGTTGACTTGCATTGACACGATATATGTCTCTGTGCATTTACCTTCTTTTGCCACACGTGAGCTGTACTCTCTGCTTCTGAGGGCTTAAGCCACTCCCTTACAAAATGAGTAACAGCACTTGTGCACTCTTAACTTGCTCTTCAGCCATGCATTTTGTTTTGTGTAGTCAAATACCATCACGTCTTGGTTTTGCCTGACTTTGCATTGTGTTGCAGTAACACAGGATATTGTGTTACTGTTGCAGGAATACCTCTAAAAAGAGTATGTAACAGCGGTATGTGGGCATCTGTAGGAGCAGGGAGTTACAGTGCTGTAATGTCGGACGTTAAACCATAACATGTGCTGCTTTCCATCGTTTCTGGTCTGATAAAAGCACCTTCCATGCTCCAAATAATGATGGGTGGCTTTTCTTTTCTTTTGCAGAAGTCAGAGGGCCACACCTCTCCCACATGACGGACAGCCAAATGAAATGTCTCAGGCTCCAGTGCTTATTTCCTGCGCTGACCAGTGAAGCTCCACTTTATTGTAAAACATTGTGCTTTACCTAATATCCTAGCCTTGTCTTTACCAAGGGAAGCTAGTCAGTCCATGTGATGGAAACTATAGACTGCAAGCAAGTGCTTATTGCTGAGTGGCCCAGAATTCACTGGAAGCCAGACGTTAGCAACTTGGGCCAGGTCCTCAAATCGGAACCCAGTATGTAGGAGGGTGATATTAATTGTCTATAATGAACAGAAATGGAATGATCCCAGAGCTTGCTTTCTATTGAAGGCTTTTAAACAGTAAATAGGTGGTTGGTGTGAAAAAGGCTGCCTTTACTGTTAGCTCACACAGCATCTCTTTTACCAACCAGAGTACGGCAACTAGTTTCGTATAATACCTAGTTATTCTAAATGAAAATGAAAAAAAAAAAAACCAACAACAACAAAAACACTGACGCACTGCACTAGTTATTATTAGATATTCTTAGTCATTTTTGTACATGAAGATTTAAGTTCTAAGATGGTTTATATTAATAGGTTATGCCTACGTTTATATTGTAGAATGAATTTAAAACCTGTTCCAGAGAACTCAAGGCAGCCTGGACAGATGTACCATTGTTAGCGGTGTTTGGGCAGCCATGTGGTCCAGATGTTCTGCACTTTTATATTTGCCACCAGAGTGGTAGAGTTTACTGGTAAAAACGCTGACAGGCTATGTTTGGGTTTGTTTCTTTTTAATTTACCTTTGAATAACCAGGATGATGTGCATTAGAAAAAGGAGTGGTGTATGGAAAAGAAAATACTGCAGATAATTGACTTGTCTTTCATGCCTTGGAGGGTTCCTTTATTTTTGCATAGATATCTGAGCTACTTGGTGAAACTTTCCTGTAAACAAAAAGTACTGCAAATGCGTTTTTCAAAAGTGACCTTAGTATTATTTCACCGTTCTGAAAAACCTAAACCCGTGACTTTTCGATATATACGTACACCGATACACATACCTTTTACATTTTACAGACACTGGCATTGTTGTAGTTACTATGCACAGTCCAAACCGGCTTCAGAGTTTGCGTAAAGGGCCAATTACAGTTTGTGTTGGTAAAGTGGCAAGTTGTATACAGATGAACTACAACCGAAGAGTAACATTTGACTGAATTCAGACTACCAAACAGATCCATCTGCCAGTTTCTGTCTTTGCTTATGTTGAATTTTTGTGTTTTGCTCTCATAAATACATCCCAAAAGCAGGCCAAGTGTATCACTTGGCCTGTTATCTTTGCTATCTTGACTTACACTATTGTATAACCAAGCATTGATTCCTACCAACAGATGCAAAACGATCACTAGTAATTGATCTAAAGCTACAAATTCAACAGGGTACTTCTATAGCACAAGATGTTTCCCTACTTTTTGCATTGTAGCACAACAATTTACCAAATTGGACTCCAGCAATAATTTTCTATTAGTCTTCGTCATACTGGCTGAACTTTTGATAGTATTAGATTGAGTTTGAAGTTCTTTGAATTAAGTCTTTAAATGATGCGAGTTTACATCATTCTATCAGGCATTCTTATTTATACTTGACTGAATTGATAATGTGTTTTGGGGTTATTTTGTAACTAATTTGATGTAATAGCCATATGGAGAGTAACTCTATTAATGCTTGCTAGGTTTAGCCTTTCATTGTTGTAGTTAAGTGAAAGTCTTTGGTTCAGTGTCGGGAAACAATATACAACATACCACACGAGTTGTAACAAAGGATTAAAGGTCTGACAAAAGGCAGGTAGCTGGGGAAGTGTCACTGAAACAGCACCATCAAGGATGCGTGTGTGTTGGAAGAAGGGAACAACAACAAAAGAACAACAAAATTTATGAGCCAATGAGTCAGTGAAAAGGCTTTTTAAAAATTCAGGTGAATACATGACTAAGAGCCCCTAGGATGCCATTACAGCCTATGGCAGTATTTTTAATAAGATTTTATTAAAGTTTTATAAGTTATTTTAACAAGACAGGAAAAACTTAAAGGACTTTAAACTGTTGGGTCACAGCAGGGTGGCTGTTGGAGTTTTGGACCACTTTATAATTAGCTGAAATCCAAATATGTTACAGTGCAGGCCGTTCACGTTGACAATGGTACTAACTTATTTCTCTAGAAACCTTTAGAGTAGATATATTTTTGTCAAAGCACCCCATCCTTCCTCGATTTAAATTTCAATATTGTTCCTGAAGATATTTCTGTATATTAATGGTACCTTTTTTAAAAGAAACAGAAAATTACTTTTTTCTATATGAATTAATACCTTACTTGATCTGCTTTTCCTTGACTTTCCCTTAGAGAAGGGGGTAGGGTTGGGTCAGTTTACTGGATATGACTGTTTTCAGATACTTATAAACCTTTTTGTAGATATGCTTAATTTTTAAGCGATTAGGCACTGAGAGTAGCAGAAATCCTGCAAAGCTTTATAGTTCACTAGGCATTTGCCTTTGTTGGTTCTCTGAGTGATGTCTTGATTTCAGTAGCTAGAATTTTCCCTGAATCTACTAGAATGGGTATCAGTATTTTCAGGTAACAAAGTCTGTTAGCACAACAAAAATTTCAGACCAATATCTTACTGTATTGGGGTTGGGTTTTTTCCTTGTTTGTTTTGTTTTAATTTTTATTAATTTCAGCTGCTTTCATTTTGGAAAATCTTACTGCTATTGTGTGTACTTCAGTATACCAGCGAACACTGTTACCCGTTAACACATTGTCCACAAATGCCTCTAGAGAAGAAATTGTTGCACCTTATGTATATCTCAAGCAAACCAAAATATGATGCTTTTCTGCTTTGTTTATTCTGAATATGTTGTATCATACTTTACTGAACCCATTTTAACTTAGCTAAAGCTATCAATATTTATGCATTTCACATTATTTTCTGGATCTGAACCTGTGTATAAATCTTTCTTTAAAAAAAAAAAAGAAAAGCATTTACCGTAGTCGTCCTCTGTGACTTATCCATGGGAGGGGGGGGAATCTTGTCTCAAGTGTAAAATGCAGTACTGTCCCAGTTTTCCTTGGCTTTTATTTATTTAGTGATCTTCGATATTTCATATGTAGTTTTGAGGTATACAAAATACATTGTCGTAGCCGAAGCTACAGATCTAAGCAGCTGGGAGAAAATTACTGTAATGTCCTCTTAATTGTTCTAGTACTGTATACAAATATGGGAAAAATGTTCTGCAGAACATTTGAGATGCAGATTCTTATCCCCACAGTAGGTTATTTTCCAGATATTAGACCAAATCAATCAAAACTCAATGATCTTAAAGGTCTTTTCCAATCTAAGTGATTCTATGATTCTAAAAACATCTATGGAGATTACTTAATGCTCTGCTTATGGCAGTAACTACCCCTTGAATGTGCTGTGATTTCAGAAATAGAATATATTTATTTAAGATGACTGAATGCTCTTTTATACTAATACAGTATCCCAAAGTCATGAGCAAGAGACTTCTTGGTAGTTTGGGTATCTATTTTATAGCATTGGTAGATGACTTTTGAAATTAAAGTGATAAGCGTTGTTGGAAAGGGGCACAGGAACAAGGGACTGGTAGAAGCATGTGAACTTGTGGTGTTCAAATTCCAGCTTTGGTCTTTATTATTTGGGTGAAAGCTGCCTTTGTAGCACAAGGCTGAAGAGCACTCTGCAGTTTGTATTGAGTAGAAACCCGAGAGAGTTGTTACTCACATCAGAACACGGGAATGCCTTACAGTTTAGATGCTGTCTTTTGGAACAAGATATTAAATTGAAGCAGTTTTAATTTCCACTGCCTGTTTAGCTACTGTACAGATACTGAACAGACTGAAGGCAATAGTTGTAGATGTGGGACAGCTAAGAGAGGATGAAAGGAAAGCTGGCCTTTGTTCTCAGTATGGCAAAGTTATGGCAACAAAGGGGAATTAGGAAAAAAGATAGATGTGTATATATATGTGTGTGTGTATGCGTGTGTGCGTGTGCGCCTGGGTGTGTACATTCTGCAAAAAAAAAAGTAGGAAAAACAAAAACATGATGGGTCTGCAAGAGACTATAAGGTATGTTGACCCTTTGAGTGCACTCCCTTTTTTTGAATGCTGAGTCTAATATGGCTACCTCTCCTAAAAGACTACTTTCATTAACTTCCATTTGCTTTCAGGCTTGATCGTGTAATCTTTTCAGCCATTGATACCATTTGTATATCACTGTGTGCTTTACTTTGCAAGAGCAACGTTTATGTAGTGCAGACAACGTAAAGGCTGAATATACTATGGTAGCCAAACTATGTTGCTGGAGCATTTTTGTTTAACCTCTGCCATAGTCATATGGGTTGCAGGACGTGGGCCCGCTAGCTCTAGTTGGTTCCGTGAGATCGTGTTTTGTAACAGCAGAAAATGCAGTGCTCAAGAGGGGGTGGACTTCAGGTATTGCCAGAGGTGACGCAGTAAGCCGAATGCTGCTCTTGAAACTTATTCTGGAGTTTACGTTTGCAATCCTGATTTCGCAAGGAAACATAACTGTGCAACTTGTGTATTGTATACCATAACGTTATCCATTAGATGCTGTTTGTTTGCCATGCTTGTTTGACAGATTGTAGAGCCTCCTGGGTATCTTTGCCATGTTTTGTAATACTTGTGGCATTCTCCTTACCTTGTATGTATTGTGGAACTGTCACCTACAGCTGCCAGGATGCTGAGGCACTTCATGACACTGAGCGCCATGAACGAGTGCATTTAGTCTGTGAAAGAGTTACTAGCCTCCTCCCCTGAATTCCCCAATAAAAAGGCACAGTGAGGTTTATGCTCTCACCTAAGTACTATTATAGTCATTTATATACTCAGTATTTTCTACTGAACTGACAGCTTTGAAGAAGCTTATGAGGTGGATGTATATTTTATGTTCCCCCACTAATTCTTCTAAGGCAGAAATCTAGGAAGACTTGACATGAGATCTCCACTCAGCAACACACCTAAGCTTATGCTGAAAACCATCCTTACTTACGGGGCAGCATTGCTGTTTGCACTGTGACAGTGCAGGAGCCCCGATTACGGACCACTACGCTCTTGGAGTTAAGCTTGCGCTTGCGTGATGTTCCTGGGGGAGGCACGTCATTGTGGCCTAGGGCCTTCATTGACATGGAATTTTAAAAATGACTGCAAATAGCTTAACATTTATTGAGTTCTTCCAGAGAACTGCATTGTAGTTTCTGGGTCTTAACTGTTACCATATACCAGCAGACCCACACTGTACTGGAAAAAACCACACCTGTACAGGCTAACTAACTAGGCTTCCAAATGTAGTGGTCTAATCTACTCTTTTCACCCCTGCAACTGAAACCTTATTTTCTCCCACACACTGCTACACTTTAATCAGTGGTTGGGGCTTTGAAGGTGACAAAAGCAAGAGAGGCATATATGTGCGTGTGTCTGCATGTATACACGTGCATACACACACCCCACATCGGAGTGCAGTGACTTGCAACGTGTTCTCTGTACAGAAGTGTTCCCATGTTAGGTCATAAAACAACATGAGGTTTCTCAGACGGTAGTTTTCCAACTTCCTTGCTAGATTTCAGTCTCTTTCCTTCACGTTACACCATAAGGTGTGATTTTCAAAAATCACACCTGAAAAAAACCACAGATCCTGCTGACCTGGATGCTACGAAAACCTTCTTTCTCAGCAGTGCTTGCTTTTAATAACCAGTATCTGTTGACAGGTTTAACACAACTGATTTGCTATGATCTTTCTTTCTAGGGCCCAATCCTTCAACTTTTATTCTCACACACAGTTCCACTGAGTTTTGACCCAGTATTTGGCTTTATTCTCTCCAAAGCTTGGTGTAAACATGCCTTACAATAGTTCATCTCCATCGATGGTATAACAGAGCTACTGCCTTCTTAGATGTGTGTAGTTAAAAGTCAATAAGCACATTTATAGAATGTCATACTTTCTTCAAAAACCTCTAATTTGATATTTTTAAGTGCACATGTTAAGTCATGTGTATAACATGCTAAAGTACATTAAACTGTGATAATGAAACTGAATAAAATATTTAATAAAATATTTGAAATATTTGAAAAGGACCTTCAAATAGATTTCTTGATGTTCATTCTATTTTGGTTATCTAGTGTGTGCCTGTAAACAGTTTCCCATTTAAACCTAATGATTGCAAATAAATACTATTCAAACAGAGCTTCTTTGATACTTCACCTGCTTTACTATCAAATGATTGTTTACTTTAACATATGGCTGAGTTAGCAGTATTTGCAGAATTTGTTTTTAGCTACAGTATGAATTTGTAGGCTTTTTTATACTTAAAAAGAAACAAGGTCGTTTTCCACCTGAAAATGGAAGATGCCAAAACCCAGAGACGGATCCTCAGAACTGTAAGCTGTAGTTTCCTGTCAGATCATCCGTTCAACTTCTACACAATGACTATAAAGATGTCGCATATTTTGCAAAGAACTTCTGTCCATTTGTTCTTGCTTACACATCTGTAACGGGAGCTTCCGTTTTATTTTTAAAAACTTCTGAGCCTGGTTCAGCACTGTTGACATTGTTGGAAAGATCCATAGGCCCATGCAAGTGCCCCAGAATTCAATGGATTTATATCAGCATAAAGCTGGAGACTGTGGGACAGAGAGAGCCAGCACTCAGTGCAGTTGGGCTGCGGGGGAAAAGTTTGCCTTTTCTCCTGAGCTTTCCAGGTATCCACTTCGTGTTTCTGGATTTTGTCGTCTTGGCACAACTGGGAAGCTCAACTATAGTCCACACAAGTATAAGAGAAGTCATCTGATGTGAAGAAGCCCTTGCTATGTTTTCGGTCTTTGGACACTATAAGAGAACTTACTCAGAAGTGGATTCTCTTTTCGAAATAAGTAGCAAGTGTCATCAATGTTTAAACTTAAAGGTCCCCGCTACTTTGGAAACTTACTTAAACCAGGACTGTGTTCTGCCCATATATTTTACCCTCTTGAGTCTTGAAAATCAGACTGTTGGGGATCTTGTCTTTTCCTGTCCTTGGATGCCTGAAGCCGCCTTGATTGCAATGTATTTTTCTCATCACAGAAGACCCAAGTACAGAATTCATTAAGCCAGTAGACACCAGTTATTCACATGGGAGCAGAAATCCTGTCTCCGAGTCAAAAGTAGCAGAAGGGAAGCCTTTAGGTTGGGGGTTTTTTTAACTATGTGCCATTTACTCAGGGAAGAAGAAATGTATGCAGTCTTGCACTGCCTTTACTGTGTATGCGTCAGTATGTCTGCAAAGCAATGCCAGGAAAGGAAGAGCTTCAGCATTAAAGGCCACGTAAAAGTCATACTTGGGGAAGGGGGGGAGAAAAGCTCTGATTCCATGAGCAAAAAAAGCTGGAAGAAATGTCCTTACAAAGTATATATTCTCTCAGTGTAGTATGCCCAGTCAGGGACATTGAAGTCACTACTCTGGTTTTTTGATTACCAAATTACCTTAAAGGAGTCATCTTCATTCCTCGAACTCCCATCTTTTTTCATCTGCTCTCATTTTGTTCTTCCAACAAAACACCTGCTGAATTCAGCTAACTCAGTGCATCTAGTTTTGTTACCCAGCTTTCACTCACGTTGCTTCTTGCAGCTGCATGGCATTACGCTGACACTTTCTTAAATGTCAGGTAAGATAAATTTCCACTAACACTTTTGGAAAAACACGGGGCAGAAAGGCATCATCCTCGTAAAACGCCATGCTTCTGCCAGGCGTTCCAACATTCTCCCCTTGATACCATTTGTTGGGTTCTTTTCATCGTTCGTCCCAGGGTTTTTTAACGTGCAGCTCACCCTGCTTTCAAATAC